GGATTTTTCAACTCAATCTCAACAATATTCCCATACTGCAGAAAATTGCCAAGTAGATTACAATTATATTTATCAGAATAAAAGAATTAGAGGACTAAGAACAGCAGTCCCTAACTCTCAACGGAAACTATCATAACTCTACTCGATTAATAACATAAAATAGCACAGAGTGAATATGATGACATAGGATGTTTTTGATTGGATTGGTTTCAGTCCCAAACTAGATCAGATCAAACAAAACTTAAACAGGCTAGGACAGGCCAGGCCAGACCAGACCAGACCAAACCATACATAGATAGTTGTAAAATACACATAGAATAGACATCTACCCAATGAATTCAGACTAGACATATAGAGACTAGACTTGAAAATTCCAGTCCAAATAAAAACATACACAATGTGAGTGAGACATCTTGAGAAAATGGCACAAATTACTGTCATTCTTTACTTTTATCCCCTTCGCTTTTCTGTTTGAAAAGAGACACTACATGCTGCTAGAGAAAACAAGACAATGTAATGTGGATATGTTTTGCCTTTTAGTCTTTTAAGCCACCTCTCCCCTAAACAGACTGCTTTGTTTTCAATTCTAGGTACACCTTAATGGAAAAACATTATACTCCTTACGTCCTGAAATAATCTTCCTATTTTATGTGGTCTGTCCCAAGTATTAATCTTCATGTTTCCTTTATCGCACAATTGGGGTTGAAATTGCTTAACTTGTTTCAACTTTCAACCCTAGTGTCAAGTGTCAACCATGAACTTTCATTTTCAATCATTTCAACCCTAGTCTCAATGATGAACTTTCAATTTCAGCCACACTTCTTAATAGGTGTGCTAACAAAAGAAGACTGGTTCAGGATAAAGGGGGTAGGAAACAGGATACTGCAAGGGAATACACGCAAAGAGAGTATGAGTTGATCATATATAAAGCTAATATGTGGAGGCCGTAAGTATGTGTGTCTACCAGCATTATTAACTCATAGAATGGAAAAGCAACCTTGTAAAACAAATCTTCAACTTCTCTCTCCCGAGTATCTTCAGGGAGATTGCCAACATAAATGGTCCTGCTTAGACGAGTCATTGCCCCTGAAAGCATTAGAAAATATATGATACTTGGTAAAAAGACTGTCATTTTAAAATATGTACGTCTAGCCTAGTAGAAGTGTAAAACAAGTACGTAACACGCAAGTGCTGAACATGATTACAAAAACATATGTTTCATGGAAATGGATCAGTGCAAAATTGACAGAAGCCAACAGATTCCAAAGTCTTAAAATAAATACAACAACAATCCAAGCCTTACTCCCAAAAGATTTTAGGGTCGGCTAACATGAATCGATCCATAATATTGATGCCAAAAAGAGCAGATGGACAAGAAGAAGAAAAAAAGTGGAAATTAAGAAATACGGAGTAATAAAAAGCAGGTCTTGAACAGTTGAACCACAAACATTAACATCCAACCTGTGAATAATGTATAGTATCGGAAATAAAAACTAAAAAGTACATGCTCTGCGATGCGTGGAAACTGAGATTTCTATGTACTGAATTGTGAACACTCCCTAATAGAGATAGAAAGATATAAGAATTTCAAGGAAAGGGATAACCCTAAATATCTAAAGTTGTTTCCTTCTCTCCGCCTCAGGTTTAACTGTTCTGTTTGAATGCTAATAAGGAATGGAATAATCTTCAGAAAACAAGAAGAGAGTAAACAAGGAACAAATTACGATTTTGCTGTATTATCAGCAACAAACGGCGTTGTTTAAGTTGGGAATTGAGAAGCAACGAAAGCAATACAGCAATCAAATTAGAAAAATATAATCATGATAATACCTTCAATCAAAATGGAACGCAGAGTTGTCGACGCTCAGATCAAGGAAGGACTCCACACGGTGAACTGAGGAACTAAAACAGCACCAAGCGTAGTCGCAAATGCAGAGTATAATCCTCACACAGTGAACTAGAGGACACGAGCCAAAAATATACGTCAAAATTCTACACACAATTTTCTCAAGCCAAAAATAATGTCTAAAACAAAGTAATTCAATATCACGTAAAAAATATCCTATTTTGTCAAATTTCACTTTTTAATAGTTGCAAAATTTTCAAAATTTAGAAATTAAAATAAATAATTTGTGTTTGCCTTCATTTTTCTTATATCTTTACAAACTTCAACCACTCAATTTTAATTTTCTTGTTTCTCATCTAATTGAATAGGTCGAAACTAATATCAATTACACGGTGTTCAAAAAAAGGTTAGAATACGTCCAATTGTCAATATGTAATCTATCAAAAAAATAATCTAGTAAATCATACCCAAAACTTTACCTTTTACATTCACGTATAGTGTATATATACTGGGAAAAACGATATTAGGGTTACACTAGCTAGTGAGTTCGACCTTAATAATTAGGGCTGGCAATATCACCCGCACCCGTAAATTCCCGATTAACCCGAATCGAAAATATGGACGAAAACCCAAAGAAATATGGATGAAAAATGGATGACAGGTGGATTGAAAGACGAGTTGGATCGGGTGTGGATAAACACGCATCCAACCCATCACCCGACTTGTCACCCGCTCTATCCACCTGCACCCGCTAACCCGCATATAAATATATATACATATATTATAATATCTATTTAATAATATATATTAATAATAATAATAATTAATATTAATATATTAACAGATACTACGTAACTACGGAGTAGCGCTGTAGCGACTAAAATAGGAGCCCGACCCTAATCTAGTTTCACTTCAAAAAAAGTTTTGTGTTGATGCAGAAATGTAGAATTGACAACCTGAAGAAATTTTTTATCTATTTTGTTTGACAATTAGTTCTCTGTTTATCATCGGCAGTGAATTAATGATTGTAATATACTTAATTGCTCAAGTTTTTGTAGTTATTTTTCAATGAATTCTTAATTTTTGTCATGATTTCTCTTTATAATTTATTTATTTTGTCTTTCAGGTTTGACCTTTTGTATTCACCCGTTACTCACCCAATCCACCCGATAACTCGTTCATGATGGATGGGTTGGATGTGAATGTAAATTTTAATAGATGATGGACGGGTGGGTGGACTATGAAAAATTAACGGGTGGACGACGGATGAGCCTTCGCCCGGTATAAATCCGACCCGCTGACACCCCTATTAATAATACATATGAGCCGTGAAGTAATGAACATCCACATACTACCTCCGTCCCTTAAAACTTTGTCAAGTTTGACCGGCACGGGAATTAATGAAGTAAAAACTGTGTGGTTGAGGTTTGTGCAGAGGAGAGAGAATTACCTGGAACCACAAATTCTTTACTTAAAAGGGAAAGTAGCAAAGTTAGTGGGATATCCAGAAAAGGAAAGTTGGCAAAGTTTTAAGAGACGGAGGGAGTATTACATAACAAGTAATAATTTGTAGTTTTTTATTTTTATGCTTTTCAAGAATGTTGTGTTCATTCTAAAAATTTTAAACGGTTGTAACTTAAAACGGACGTCTCCCTTATTAGGGTTTTCCTCCACCGATTAGTGTGGTTCACTTCTTTAGCCGTTGAGCGGTGTTTCTAGTCTGTAACTTAAAACGAACGTCTCCCTTATTAGGGTTTTCCTCCAAGCAAGAGATGACGGAGATCCGGTGCTAGAAGATGCCTGGTGCCAAAACGCTTGTTCTTTGGAGGTCGAAGGTCGTGCACCCCTGGAAGCAGGGGAGAGTTTTGAGATCAGAAGGTCATGGGCGGAAACTTGGGGCTAAAGGCTGTAACAAATCTGGATTCGAGGTCGTACGTGCTTGGTGGTGAAAGTGAAGGCATGACAGAAAACATGAAAAATAAGAGGCATGGTCGGGAAAAAGCTACAGTACAACTGTCTCGTCCCCCTCCTGAACCACCGCCATGGAGTGCGAGAGAGTCTAGGGTTTGGAAGAAGATGAGTGAACTCTACAATAATTCCATTTTATTTTGGTTGTGTTTTTATTTTGAATTGCATGTTGTTTTAGTTGTGTTTTAATTTCCTAACAGAAACACTTTAGAGTTTAAGACAGGTGATGAGAAGTCTAATTTGCCTGTTATTTGCTCAATTAAGCCCATTATATGATTAGCAAGTCTTATTGGTTCTACGGAGATGATATATTCTAAGAAGTTGTTCTGTTCGTCTTATTCTTATTACTTATTGCTTATTCTAATTTTATTCAGATCAGATCACATCAGAAAATTTAGATCAGGTCAGATCAGAAGCATTCAAATTAGATCAGAAAGATTCAGATCAAATCAGACCAAATCAAAAACATTCAGATCAGATCAGAAATATTCAGATCATATCAAACATATTTAGATCAGATCAGAAACATTGAGATCAGAAATGTTCAAACATGATTTATCAGTTTTATTATTCTAATAATTTTAATAATAATAGTAATTGTTATTATTATTGTTGTTGTTTTTGTTGTTGTTATTATTATTGTTGTTGTTGTTATTGTTATTATTGTTATTAATGTTATTATTGTTATTATTATTATTAGTATTATTATTATTGTTATTATTGTTATTATTTTTATTATTGTTATTATTGTTATTATTATTATCATTATTATTACTACTATATTATTAATATTATTATTATATTATTATTATTATTATTATTATACTTAGTACTTATAATCACACTAAGTATAATTATAATTACAATTACAATTATAGTTACAAATACAATTAAAATTACAATTATAACTATGATTATAGAATTACATATTATATTTATAACTACATTTATAATTATAGAAATAATTATAGTTAAAAATATAATTACAATTATAATTATAGCTATAATTATAATTAGTGTAATAGGTATAATTATTATAATTTGAATTTTAATTACAACTATTATTATAAATATAATTACATTTTTATAATTATTATTATAATTATAATTTTTAAAATTATAATTATAATTATTAATATTCTAATTATAGAAATATTTAAATCATATTAGAAAGATTTAGATCAGATCAGAAGGATTCAAGTCAGATCAGAAAGATTCAGATCAGATCAGAAAGATTCAGACCAGATCAGATCAGAAAGATTCAGACTATATCATATTAGAAAGATTCAAATCAGATCAGAACAGATCAAAAAGTTTCAGATCAGATCAGATAAGAAAAGGAATAATGACACAAATATTACTAATGACTTTATGAAATACAAAAAAGTGACTACTTTTCTTTTTTCCCAAAAATATGACTTAGTCAGCTGTCCAGACGGTCCAGACCAGACCCACCGTTTTCCATCCCAGCCCATTCTTTTCATCTCTGAAGCCAAGTCGACGCTATCAACCAAGGAGCTCCCAAGGCATCTCCCCAGACCGTCGCAGGAGCAGAGGAGACCACCCCCAAACTCGTCGCTGTCGCCTCCGCGAACAGGGTAGACATATCGCCTCCGCCTCCCTCGCCCCTGTCTACTCCCTACGTCTCGCCTCCGATGGCTGCTAAGGTCGCGGCAGTGGCAATTCCGCCGCCACGTCTGGTCCCCGACCTCGTCATCAACAATCCTTGATTTTCTTCTCCTTTCTTCTATCCGTAAAAATCCGCTACTAGCTAGATTTGGAACTCCTGGATCATTCTCTTTGCACCGGCGTCTGGGATTTCAAATTGGGGGTCGAGGGCGGTGCAAGAATGACTGGGAAAGCTGGGGAAGAGGTGGGGCGGGTTTGTTCAGGAATTGGACTAATAAGAACGGTGACAGGGTGGGGGTAGGTGTTGATGGGTGTTGACGTTGGGGGCAACGACTTAGCCGTCGTTGCTGGCAGGCTTGGCCCCAAAATGTAGTGATTCAATTTAGAACTCCAAAAGTTTTACTCATTAGTATTTTCTTACGAAGTATAATAATGATGTTGTGCATTTGTGAATATGGCAGCTTGTGGCGTCGGTGGGGCAAGAGGCTGCTCTCACGTTTCTCAAACTTCAAATGTGTAGGGAATATACTACGTATATGGATAACTGGGGCAGGGGAGGGTGCTGAATTGGGGCTGAGCTGGTGGGGGCTATTGCTGCCTAGGCGTGACGTGGGCTGGGGAATAGGGTGTGGCGGTGGTCGGAAGGGGCTGCGTCGGTTATTAATTGGTGGTGCTTACCGGAGAGGTTGGGGCAGTGGTGGGTTCGCTGGCCGGAGTCATTGGCGGCGGTGTCACTAGGCCGTGTCACTTGCGGCGATGACACCGGTGGCAGTGCCACTGAGGCAGTATCACCGTTGGCGGTGCCACTCAGGCAGTGTCACCGGTGGCGGTGCCACTGAGGCAGTGTCACCGGTGGCGGTGCCACTGAGGCAGTGTCACCGGTGGCGGTGTCACTGAGGCAGTGTCACCGGTGGTGGTGTCACTGAGGCAGTGTCACCGGTGGCGGTGTTACTGTGACCTAAAGGTTGGGGTGGAGACGTCACTACGGAGGTTTCACTATGATCGGCGATGGCGGAGATGTCACTGCGGAGATTAGCCGCGAAAATGTCACTACAAAAATGTCACTGCCGATATGTCACTGTGTATTAGTCACATTTTTTTGTCCAAATGTAAATGTGGTCACTTTTTTGGAAACTACCTTTAATTTAGTAATATTAAGTGAATAACCCCATAAGAAAATTTAGATCAGAAACATTCAGATCAGGTGAAGAGAACAACTTCTAAATCTGGTTCGAGAATATACGGTGGACATAAGACTTTTTGTCGTTTTGTATCTTGCTTATGTTATGTTATTTTAATATAAGCCACTTTCTTTCAAAAAAGAATGTTATGTTCATTGGAGATAGTAAAAGTTAATATCACATTTGTATTATTTGTTTGGGCGTTTATTCCTTAATCCTTATCTTCTTCACACATCAATACAAAATAATACGTAGTAATTGTCAATAAAAAATTAAATTGTCTTTGGTAACCCTTATATTGAGCTTGACAGGTTTACGAGTCAATATTTCTACCGCACATGTGACTTTTGATTTCATAGACTCATTTGTATAGTAATTACTTTTCTATTTGAATAGAATTGATTGAAGTTAATGTTGAAGATCAAATAGCTTTTTCGTACAATTTTTCTCTGCTTTATTAAAAGAATATATTTCAATTATAATTTTTCTATAAATTTAGCAAATTCAGTCAAATCACTATTTTTGTCGGGATTTCGTCAATATCAGATGATTCAACCGCTTTTAGTGTTACTAAACATGTTTTTTACCCTAGCGCCTTGTTAAGTCTCACACCATTTATTCATTAGTATCATAAGCAATAAAAGTCTATATCACACATTTGTTTGGCCATAATGTGCTATGACTTTTTTTTGCAGAAATAGACTTAAATTGGTAACACATCATTCAGATAATAGGTAAAAGATAAAAAAAACTCCTAGCAATCACCGACCCTCGAACTAGACTCAGAGTTTATCACTTATAAAGAAGCAATATAACCCACTGATCCTTTACTGGGCGCAAATGAGCCAAAGACGGTTAACATAGTCCTTTCATCACCTATATTCAAATCCCCAGTCATGCATCATAATAAAACGCGGAACTCAAAATAGACAAAAAACTTTGGAAAATTAAAACAAATAAATGCGAAAAAAAAACTCATGCCCCTTCTTCCAGATCACCACCATCTTCCATGCTCCCTGAACCGTCCTCTGATTCAGCAGCTTCAATGGGCTTACACCACAAAGCCCGTCTCCTCCCCATTTTTCTCCCCATCCAGAGCCATATTGTCCCCAACTTGATTCTATGTTTTCTAAGCCTCGCATATTCGTCTACGTTTTTGCTCCCCTAACACTTCCTCATTGCTTCTGAATTCCACATCTTTTGTTGAGTTGTTAACCGTGCCCGACGTGGACTCCTTCCAATCCCCTCATGTTCTTCCGTCCAATTTGTTATCCTCTGTTTGGTTGGGGGGTCCAACTCGAACTGGATGAACCATCCACTAACCACTTATTTCCTCCTGTAGGACTAGTCTTCACCCCACTACCAGCTCTAATGTGTACCCCGGCTGTTTTTTCAAGTGTCAGATTATCTTCATATGACAACAGGCAAACTTTATCAGAATGATTAGTTATACCATAAACAAAGCAGAAATTGGGTAGTTTTTCATACTTAAAGTCCACACAGTGCCCAATTCCTCCATTTTAAAGGTTGTACCCTTTTTCAGAGGTTTTCCCACACCCACACACACCCTGACACGCATATAAGCTTCCCACTGTTCACCAAATTGATTATCATTAAAATGAATAAATTTACCAATAAAATTACCAACTTGTCTAGCAGTGTCTAGATTCATCAAACTGTAAGGAACATAAACCTGTACCCAAAACTCAGCTTCATTTAAACAGATCTTATGCGGAATATCCTCAGGTCTAACCTGTTGGAGAATCAACAAATTCCTCTCAAATTGCCACGGGCCTCAATCTAGAACATGTTTCATATCCACTGTATGGTAGAACGTAGAAAGATACCTCTTGTCGCCAATTTGTTTGATCGACACACCTTAAATAACGTTTTTGCAATGAGGAAAATAATTTAAATACTCCAAACTTTAATGGGGTGTGAGATAAGTACCCCGAACTTGCATATGTAATACATATACCCGAACATTATATAAAAACTTATTTTCGCACCATGATTTATGGTTTTCACAAATACAAATATATCGGAATGATTACATAATTTAAAATACTCTAAGCTTTGTTATAATGTAGTTAACACTCTAAAATTTTATTTGTGAAATAAAGAATATTACATCTGGTGCAATATAATCTTAATTGCATCCTCATAAAAGTTTTGTGTATTTTGAATTATGTATTTAACACTATAAAATTACATTTGTGAAAACATATATGATCATGGTGCTAACATTACTTTCTATATAAAGCTTGGGGTATGTGTGTTTGTGTGTCTATATATATACACGTATATACACATATATTACACGTGCAAGTTTGTGATACTTATCTCCACCTCTTTCAATATATTGTTTAACTTTTATTTAAACAATAAGTCTATCTCACACATTTTTTTGGATGAAAGGTAAATTTATTAATTACACCTAAAAATAGCATAATACAATGTATCAAACATACCAAGCTAGCTATACAAACTAAAAATGTTAAACCATTCATACCTCCCTATGAGAGGCGAGTGGGGAGAGCGAATTTTTAGATGGAAGCCCACAACAACACGGGACAGGCCCCGACTCATGTCAAAATAAATCAAGTAACCAAGATGGACTGGTCCAGGATGAGCCAGCCCATTAACGAATCATGAGCCTCTCGTAAGGTGTTGGTCGCCAAACCAACATAGGCGCATAGGCCAACAAGGATCCACGAAGCCTAGCTACCACAAAACCCATCATCAAAGCAATAAGCTGCATCAAAATAAAAAGGCCTTGATCCAAACCAGTTAAGGACCGTCATCATTAGCGCTGCCGACATGCGAAATCAGCCAAATCCCAACGATTCCAGTACAATAGCGAAGAAGGCCAAACATCTAGGGTTACAAACAGGTCGACCCAGTCTCCCAAAGCCACCATTGCTACGAGCATCTGACACATTTGAGAGGCACCAAATCCAAATTTTGAATCTGCTACAGTGTCCGAGACAGGCATAAGGGACATGGATCCAATCAGCTTGCAGCCATTCAGCTCGCCGTTGACCCACCAACGCCTGTTTCCCGACGAAACTATGCTCGTGCAACTGTAGCCAAAGTCCATAAAACCCAACAACGCTTTCTCGTCCCCTTGTAGCCACCCCTCCCGTTCTGACTACCCCATTGGGTGTCGGCAAGCGCCAGGCTTTCTGTGGCAAACAAAGGGAGGGAAAAACCCAAAGCTGGATAATCCTTACAATCGGTGAACCCCTGACAAGACACCAACATCAAACCCCAAACTCTAGCAAGACAGACCATCCATTCCCACCAACCCCTCAATGAGGCTCAGGACCCCTTCTTGGGCACCACCCAACACCTGTAGGATTGTGCTACAACCAATCCAACATTGCGCCCTACCATTACGACCATCTACTGCGGATGCCAGAGACTTTCGTCCTGAACGAGTCTGGGTGGCAAAGAATGAGACAACGGTATGTTTACAATGCTCTAGATGCAAACAAGCCCTCAATCCAACCAACTTCAACTAACCTCTAACCGATCAATGCAAGAAGCATCAGCCCTCACCTGCACTACTAACATGGGGATCAGGTTTTCGTCAAGGTCAGTCAAGGGAGGCTGGTACCAGAAGGGTTATCCGGCAACAAGTATCCCTCACCTCCCCAAACACAAAGACGACCAACGATCGGTGGTGGCCAATCACCATGGAAGTCCACGCTGCTTAGGTCATCGGAGTGACCTCGGCTAGGCCAGGTCAAGAAAAAGAACGAGAGGAGGAATGTCAGGAAACAAAAAATTATCTTACCATCGTTAAACCGGTCATCCGCAACAATGTAACCAGCCAGAGAAGAGTCAGCCGCCATCAGCCATACCGTCGAACACCAGGTCCCATTTCTCGCCCGTTCACCATCGTTTAGCCCCTGCCCTCAAGGCTACACCCATGGATACTAGCCGTGGGTTAAATAGGGCCTCGAATTTCCGGCAAGCCATTACCAGCCAATTTGTCGGACAACCCTATGTAGCGGATGGTTTGGGGGTCTATCTCACACATTTGTTTAGCCATAATGCGCTATGACTCATTTTTTTTTTTAAATTGGTTCATTTTCTTTTTAAATAACGTTTTTTCAATTTATAAAACTTTTATTTAATTTATACATGTCGGTCACGATACTAATACTAATTTGATTTTTTTCTAGAATATTACTCATATAAAAAATGATGAACAAAAATGAGCCTACAATTATAGTCACTATGTAACACCGTCCCCAAATGTATTTACCTTTAAGCGAATAATTTATTGAACCCTATGAAATTTTTAGTG